TACAGATCTTTCTACATGTATAGACATTTGTTTATTGTATAACATAATGATTCAATTAACAGCTGTGCACCTTTTCCCTAACAACAAATTTACACCAGATGAAAACTAATAGGAAGTGATCATTGCCAAATATGGAGCCATGTGATTAAGTATTTCTTGGATTGTTGGATTTGATAGGGAAAATCTAAGCACTGTGGAGACCCACGATCACACAGCTACTCTGTGTTGCTGAACTATAAAACGTGTATGTATGTGTATATGTATATGTACCCAAGTTTCCCACAAAATAAGACCAAGTCTTATTTTCTTTTGGGCCCCAAAATAAGGACTAGAGCTTATTTTTGGAGGGTGTCTTATTGTTTTTCCCGTGTATGGGAGGCCACATCTGCTTGTTTGTGGTGAGGCAGGAGGCTGCACAATGTGTTAGTACTGCCACTGCGAGGCACGGGGTGAAGCTACCCAACACGCTTTGTGCTAGCTTATCTCAGAGCCCCCACAGCCAGACCATGTCCTGATACCTGCCTCACCTCGTAGTCGTGGCATCAGCACACTGCTCAGCCTAATACTCCATTGCAGCCATGAGCAAGCAAAAGAAGTGGGCCAGCAGCCATGTATGCTCCTGCTGCACATAGCTGCCAGAGCTGCCGTCGGGAAGCAGGTGTTAAGGCATGGATGGTCTGGCTGTGAGGACCCCGAGGTAAGCCGGTGCAGAGTGCATGAGGCAGCTCCTCCACCACCATGCCTCACCTCATGGCTGCATCACAGCAAGCAACCAGATGGAATGGGTGGCTGGGGCAGGCTCTTAAGTAGGGCTTATTTTGGGTGGGTAGGACTTATATTAGGCGCACACGTAAAACATGCTAGGGCTTATTTTTGGATAGGTCTTATTTTCAGGGAAACTATTTGTATTAAGGAGTTGCAGACCATTATGTGCAGGTTTATTCACATTCCAGAGCATCTTTTCCCATTGACTTGAGGGTACTTGAGAGACTGCCTACTGCCAATTACCTCCAATAGACCGATTAGATCCCACAGATTAGGCCTCCTCCGAATTCTATCTACTGGCCAATGCTGACTGGCGACCACCCGGAGGAGGGCCTTCTTTGTGGCTGTTCTGGCCCTTTGGAACGAGCTCCCCGTGGAGATTCGGACCCTCACCACCCTCCAGGCCTTCCGCAAAGCCCTTAAAACCTGGCTGTTCCGACAGGCTAATGAGTTTTTTGCCCCCCCTCGAATGGTATGGTTGTTGAGTGTTTTAAATTGTGGTATTGTTTTGTTCGTGTTCTTTTTTCTTATTTGTACTCCCCCCCCTTGACTTGGTTGTGAGCCGCCCTGAATCCCCTCCGGGGAATAGGGCGGCATAGAAATATAATAAACTCAAACTCAACTCAAACGGGTGTGGGGC